CCGATATCCAACCTATTCAGAATTCTAAAATCCTTCCCTCTCCACCTCGGCGATTATTGATGCTGTTGCTATTTTAGAGCAAGATCCAACGGCTGGAAGTTGACGCCAGACAGATTCAGGGTAGAAAGACGTACGTTTTGAACAGTGAGGGGCATTGGGGCAATTTACCAAGGGCCGTGGTGGGTCACGGGCAGCTTTTAAATCAACATTGGATGTTTTCAAAGGGCTGCTCTGGTTCACACGCTTAAACCAGGGCCTGTGTTATGCAGGAGGTCAGGCGAGAGGATGTTGGCCTGGGAATTCGTTAATGAAGTTAGCGAGCAATGATTTTCCCCAAGGAGTAGTTTAGGATCAGTTCATAAACTCGCTGATGGGCCATGTGCTGAAGACCGTTACATCCATAGTTACTCATTGCTAAGGAGTCTCCGCTCCTTTGAATTCAAAATAAGTTTACGAATGATAATCCGTAGTAGTTAACAGTGACTGCTTTCTTTGTTCTCGCCACAGAAGTGTGCTGTATAAATATGTTACAGTTCATGTACTCGTGTGTTATGGTGAGTGTGTGTGTGTGCACATATAGAAAATCTAAGAAATGAGTGAAAATCAGAATTACCATTATGCAGGAAATTCTGACATTTTGCTTTTTTTTTTCTTTTTATATTGAATCAGGTTGAAAAATCAAAAAATTTTTGCTGATGGGTTTGGGGTCTAGTGGTTACAGCAGAGGGTCTGGGTGTCAGGACTCCTGGGTTCTATCCCCAGCTATGGGAGGGGAGTGGGGGTCTCATGGGTTAGAGCAGGGGGGGCTGGGAGTCAGGATCCCTGGGTTCTAGTCCTGGCTCCGGGAGGAGAGTGGGGTTTAGTGGTTAGAGCATGGCGGTGTACCCTCACAGCCCATCCCTGACCATCCGTCTGTCCCCTCAGCCATGTGGGAGCACCATCCCGAGACAGCAGAGATCGCCGCCCTGCAGGAGGCTCACCGCAAGCACAGCCGGCGCAGTTCAGAGGAAGAGGAGGAGGAGGAGGAAGAGGAGATATCCAGCTCTGGGGAGGAGGAGGATGAGGAGAAGGACCGTGATGCTGATGAGGAAGAGGAGGAGGAGGAAGAGCCAGCTGCCTCCAGTGGAGGAGGGAGCAGCGCCCCAGCCCAGGCCCCACCCAGGAGGGTGCTGAAGGGGAAACTCTCAAGCCGGAACTTGTTTGCTTTGCTGGGGGAGGATGAATGTTAGTGGCTCCCCCTGCTGGACAGATTGAGAAAAGGGGGGGGGGAGGAGGGCCTGGCTACAGGCTCCACCCCCTGCCCCGGCTACAGGCTCCGCCCCCTGCCCTGGCTGAGCTCCGCCCCCCCCCCATTCTCCATGTTCATTCCAATGCTCTATAGCCTCTGTATATGAATAAAGGTGATGTTTATTTCCAGACCCCGCCTCCGTCATTGACCGGGACACTGGTCTCCCTCCCTAGCCATTGGTCCATCTATCCTGGGATCTCCACCGCCCTGCTGCATCACACCAATGGGTCATCAAGCCTAGTATCCTGCCTCTTCAGATAAGACCCGTGGGACCACCTAGCCTGATCCCACCTTCCCTGATCAGATCCATGGGTCCATGTAGCTCAATATCCCAGCCTGGTCCTTGGTGCCCTGGCTCAGAGCCGTGGTCTCTGCTCGGGCCTGTTCATTTTGGATCATTTCTATCTATCAAAAAGGCTTGTTCCTTTTAGTCTTCAAACCTTGGTTTTGCTGCAGAAGCATCCTGCTCCCCATTTTCCTGTGGAACTCCCTACCAAAATATTCTCGCCCATACTGCTCATGGAAGTAGAGAGCAAAGGATAACTCAGTATTACAGCCCATGCGTTGGATCCCTTCAGCTGTTTATTTTTCCAGGAGTTTCTTCCGATCGCCTCAGGGCATCCTCCCAGCCTGCCCTGGGGCAACTGTTGAACTTCAGCCTGATCGTTGTGTTTATTGTGCGGCTTTGACACATCCAGCAAATCACCAAGAGGGCTTAGTATTAGACGTATTAGGGCAACACGTAGAGGCCACAGCTGAGATGAGGGCCCCGTTGTGCCAGGCGCTGCACAGACACACAGCGAGAGACGGTCCCTGCCCCAGCTGAGATCAGGGCCCTGTTGGCCTGGGCACTGCACAGACACAGGGTCATTCTCGGATCTGATGGAACAGACAGGAGTGAGGTGGAGAAACCGGGGGAAATGCACTGTGAAGCAGAGAGCCACTCCCATGTGCAAGCAAATGCTGGCTTTGCTGAAATATCTGCTCCAGAGGTGGAAGCGAGGACCGATCTCTGGGGCTGTGTTTGGGCAGCATTGCAACCCCTTTCCCCTCGGGCAAATTGGTCACCTGGGACTGACCACCCTTGCCCCTTGTCTTGTTCGAAATACTCCATTGGGAGTGCCCTGACAGCAGCCCAAAGCAGGGGCGCCGGAATTACTGGCCTTAAGTGCGAGCGACTGGCGGGGTGGGCCTCAGGGCGAAGAGGCAGCATCAGGGTGGGGCCTTGGGGGGATGGGATGGTATGAGGGGATGATGCCATGGTTTGGGTGCCAATGGCCTCCCCACTTTTAGGGACCTTCCGTCGCCCCTGGCCCAACGGCCGCATCCAAAGCGCTCATAAATTTGCATCAGTTTTTTTTTTTTAAATCAGCAAGTCAATGCAGATGCCCGTGATCTTCGCCGGTGCTTGTATCTTCCCCGCCAGTTCTGAGATGCAGCCACCTCTGGGGTGGGGCAGCTGGGGAAACAGTTGCATGATGACGCTGCATAGGCATCACTCATCCAGCTCTGAGATGCAGCCACTTCTGGGGTGGAAGGCAGCAGCTATTTAACTACCACAATTTAGGACAAGAAGGGATGGGGGAATCCTCCTAAATCCAATGATAACCACAGGATGAATGCCAGGGATGGCAATACATATTTGCCTCAGCTGGGATCGAGCCAATGCAATGCAGTTAATCCAGCCTTGCAAAAAAAGGAACCAGCCATATACAGTATTATCTGAAATTAGGCAAAGTAAAAGTGCCCCCTACTGAGCCCTCGCCCCACTCCCTGCAACACAGTGCCCCCTTGGGGGTCAGCGCTGGCTGCCAGAGCAGAGCGCCCCCTGCTGGAGGGAGGGGGAATGGCCAGCAGAGGGCCAGGGCTGTGCTGAGTCTCGGCTAGGGGGAAGAGAGCAGTGGGGACCCGAGGGGGCAGGTGCAGGAGGAAGGGGTGTGTCTCCCCCCCCCCCCCCAGCGCCCCATGGTGTGCGGCAGAGCCAGGCAGGCTGGGGAACTACATTTCCCAGAGGTCTTTGCTGCTGCTGCAGTTACGTCAGCGGGGGGGCTCGGCTGGGCAGGAAGAGGCTGCGGCTGCTGGTGTCTCCATGTGACTGAGGTCCGGGGCAAACGGGGGAGGGGGGAAATAAAAGGGGCTGGCGGGGTACTGCCGGGAAGGGGATCTAGGGGGGCGGGAGGAAGAAGGTTGGGGGGCTGTGAGAGGAAGGGGATCTAGGGGGGCTGGAGGAAGAAGGTTGGGGGGCTGTGAGAGGAAGGGGATCTGGGGAGGGGGCTGGCAGGGGAAGCGATAAGGGTCTGTGGGAAGGGGCTGCCGGGGAGGAGGTGGGCTGGGGATTTGCAGGGGAGGGAGATGTGGGGAGGGACTGGCAGGGGAAGCGATCGGGGTCTGGGGAAGGAGCTGAGATGGGGGTTTAACGAGGAGGTGGGGGATGTTCTGTTGGGGGTGATCTGGGGGGAGCAGGTGTAACCCTACAAGGGTGTGTGTGGGGGGGGGCAAGGGGGTAGCAGGGCCCATTCTGGTATGGGGGGGGGGCTGTTGTCCCTCCTGGAAGAATAACAAAGCCCGGGAGCCCCCTGTCTTTTGGGGACAGATCCCAGCTCTGTGTGTGGTGGGGAGTCACTAGAAATGGGGTGGTGGTGGTGGGGGGGTGGATTGTGAAAACGCCCCCACCCGGGGTAATTGGTGGAGGCAGCATGGAGCCAGCTGGGGGAGGGGCAGCTAACAGCCCCTTAGGGGACTGGCTGCCCCCCCTCAAGTATTTTCCCCCATTCCAGATCTGCCTCCCACAGCGATGTCGGCCCAGGTGAAGGATAAAGAGGCTTTCCAAAGGCTCAGCTTCCTCTACCAGGTGAGGGTGGTGCCCCCTAGTGCTGGGATCCCAGTGGGAACGGGGGTTACACCCCCCCAAGTGCAGGAGTACTCAAATTGGGGGTTGCCCCTCAGGGGGTCGTGAGGTTATTACATAGGGGGTCACGAGCTATCAGCCTCCACCCTAAACCCTGCTTTGCATCCAGCATTTCTAATGGTGTTAAATATATTTAAAAGTGTTTTTAACTTATAAGGGGGATCACACTCAGAGGCTTGTTATGTGAAAGGGGTCACCAGTACAAAAGTTTGAGAACCACTGCCTAAGAGAGACCCTGGGAGCAATTCCCCCTAGTCCCAGGGGTGGGGGTCTCTGTGGGGCCTGAGGAGGGGGGATTTCTGGGGCTCCCCCCAGGATTCCTGAATAGACCATGGGGCAAAGAGGGTTGGTGTGTCTGTGTGTGGGGTGGGGGCGGGGAGGATTGGAGGAAGATGGGATTGGGGGGATTGGTAGGGCAAGGGGGTCATGTGGAGCTGGGGGAGGTGGGGGGAGTGATATGGGACTGGGGGAGGGGAGGTTGGATGGAGATGGGGCTGGGGGAGGGGGAAATCGGTGGGAGGGAGGACTGGTGGGGGGAGATGGGGTTGGGGGATCAGTGAGACTGGGGGAGGGGGGTTCAGTGGAGCTGGGGGTAGCGACATGGGGCTGGGGGAGGGGGGATCAGTAGGATAACATGGGCGAGGGGGTAATGGTGGGGTGACATGGGGCTGGGGGGAGATCAATGGGGAGGGGAGAGCCATGTGGGGCTCGGGGAGGGGAGGGATTGGGGGTGACATGGAGCAGGGGGAGATGTGGGGCTGTTCCCCTCACTCTGCATCTCTTTTCCCCCTGCCCACCCCGCAGGCGGCTCACTGTGTCCTCGCCCACAACCCCGAGAACCAGGAGCTGGCGCGATTCTACTGCCACGCGCAGCGCAGCATCAGCCGCAGGCTCGTCCTGAGACAGTGAGTGTCGGGATACGGGGCCTTTCCCCTCTAGGGAGTGCTGGCTCCCATCTGGCCCCAGGGGGCGGGGACTGGGCCATGGGGCCTTTCCCCTCTAGAGGCCCATCTCCCCAGGCCCAGCCCCTGTCTGTGTTTCCCCCCGCCAGAGACCCCTCGGTGAAGAGAACCATCTGCAAATCCTGCTCCTCCCTCCTGGTCCCTGGAGTCAGCTCCACGGTGCGCCAGAGAAGTGAGTGCTGCCCCCTAGTGGGGTGGGATCAGTACTGCTCTGGGTGGCTGGGAGCCCAGACTCCTGGGTTCTATCCCTAGCTCAGGGAGGGGAGTGGGGTCTAGTGGTTAGAGCAGGGGGGGGCTGGGAGTCAGGACCCTGAGAGGGCAGTGGGGTCAGGTGGCAAAGCCTCTCCCCATGCATGCCTGTCTGTGCCTGGTCCCTGACTCCTTGCCCCTCCCCCTCCCCCCAGGGCGCCGCGGCCGACGCTGGTCAGTCATACGGTGTCTCTGCTGCGGCCAGACCAAGCGTTTCCCAAGTAACCCCGCGTACAAGCTGTGGGCGGAGCAGCCTGAGGCTCTGCTGGAGAACCAGCCCCAAGCTGGTGAGAGGGGGCAGCATCCAAAGGGTTAATGGGGGCGGTGTGGGGCTGGAGCCCCTGAATGGGGGAGTGGGGCATCTGGAGGCAGGGCTCAGCAGGGAGGATTGGGGGGGGGGGTTGCCGGGCTCTGGATTGTTTTGTCACTGTGTGTGGGGGGGTGGGGGAGGCTGGATTGATCTGGGGGGGATTGGGAGGGATTGGTCAGAGAGGGGTATGGATGGGGGGGGGAGCCGGGATTGGTCTGGGGGGTGAAGCTCGCATCAGTTGGGCGGGGGGATTGGAGGGAGGAGGAGCTGTGGGGGTTGGTCAGAGCTGGGATCGGTCCATGGGGAGTTTGTGGGGGGGGGGAAGCTGGGATCAGCCAGGAAGGGATCGAGTCGGGGAGGAGCTGGGGTTGTTCTGAGAGGGGTATGGACTGGGGGGGAACTGGGATTGGTATGGGGAGAAGATGGGATTGGACTGGGGGGGACTTTGGGGAGGGGAATCTGGGATCAACCTGGGAGGGGATCTGGGGGTGGGGGAGGAGCTGGGGTTGGTGGTGGGGGGTTAGCCGTGTAGGGGGGAATATCAGGATCAAGGGGGGGAGGGGAGAATTTGAGGGCAGGGGAGCAGTGGGAATTTCCTGCATCTCCATCTCATCTCTTCCCCTCCAGACCAGAAACCTGCAGCCCCCCAGGATCCCCCGAAGGAGCCCTCAGCACAGAAGGCCAAAACCCCCAGTGTGACCTCCGGTCTCCAGAGCCGCCCCACCCCGCAGGGGACTACAGAGGCTGGGACCCGGGTGGGGAAAGGGGGCCCAAGCAGGAGGTGACCTCCGGGGATGGCCGTGAGCAGGGGCCAGTGGCTTGGGGCCTGATCCCAGTGGGGGGTGGCAAGGACAGGCCTGGGGCAGGTTTTAGGAGACTCCGTTCGTAAGAGAGGTGCCAAGACTGATTTGAAAAGGGGGAGGAAGAGAAATGACCCCCTCGAAACTATCCACTCCTGGGGCACTGGCTGGCTCAGGGGGTGGGGAATGGGATACGGGGCCTTTCCCCTCTGTGGGGCACCAGCTCCCACCTGGCCCCAGGGCGGGGGACTGGCTGGCTCAGTGGGGCAAGGAACGGGACGTGGGGCCTTTCCCCCACTCGGGGGTGCCAGCTCCGATCCAGCCCAGGGCAGGGGACTGGCTGGCTCAGGGGGTGGGGAATGAGACATGGGGCCTCTAGGGAGCGTCGGTTCTGATTTGGTGGTTTTTTTGGGACCCTGGTCTATTTATAAACGTACAATCAAATTGCATCTCCGTGTGCATATTTAGAAGCACATTTCCTGCCTCCGCATCTTTTATTGGCTTAAAACAAGCTGGTGGGAGGAGGGACCGTAATGGACGATACCCCTCTAGGATTACGTGTAGGGGAAGGGGGGAATACAGTGGAGGGGACTCCTGGGGGGGCGGTTCAAGGACAGAGGGACTATATGGTCCTGGCTAGACTTGATGGGGGGCTCGTGGGAGAAACAGTCTACCATTACCAGTGGGAATACTAGGGACTGGGACGTCCCATGAGAAGCGTTTGCTCCCCTGGCTGGTTGGCCGTGGCACTTCTTGCTTGGCCCCAGTTCGCTTTCCGGTTTGAGCCGTCAGCTGGTTGGGGTGTTACCGGCACAAAGTTCTGTTACACACTGTAGGGCACCCACCTTTACCCAGTTCCTCGGGCTCAAGGCGCAATCCTCTTAATTTAGGCACCCACTTTTACCTGGTCCTAAGGCTCCAGGTGAAAGGCACCTAACTTTACCCCTCCATGGGCTCTGGGCTCTACTCCTCCAAGGGCTCTGGGCTAACACCCTTTCCGTGTGGGCTCAGGGCTTAATCTTTTGCAGGTTTATGGGGTCTTTTACCAGTGAAAGAGCTTTACACAGTAATATCCTACGTAACCTCTATTTATTAACAATCACCAAAAACCAGACTGCTCACGCTACACATACAGTGCTCACCACTCCCAACAAGACAAATGAACTTTTCCTGATGGCCAGTCAGGATCAGGTAGGGTGACCAGACAGCAAGTGTAAAAAATCAGTACAGGGTGTGGGGGGGTAATAGAAGCCTATATAAGAAAAAGCCCCCAAAATCAGGATTGTCCCTATAAAATCGGGACATCTGATCACCCTAGGATCAGGTCCATCTGGGGGACTCCAGTTTCTGCACGGCGTCATTGGCAGAGCGTTGAGGTCTGACAGCTCTGTTCTTTGGGGCTGTGTCCTGGAGTTGGTTCCCCAAGAACTTTCTTTTGGACCCCAGTTTATATAGTGAAACTTGAGCCCTGCTTAGTTATATCTTAACCAATCAATATACTAAAATTTTACTAACCAATCCTAACAAAATTCTCTCACCAGTCCTACCCCACCACCTTCATTAATTTACACCTAGCAAAATGAATTATGTAACAGACAGAAATAATCAAAGAACCGGACAGAGCTCATCCAGACAAACAATAGGGAAGTGGGGACCATAAAGACAAAACAATAAAGAAATGAGGATTCCACAACTATTGATAAGTGGTTTCTTGTCAGACAGAATGCCATCAAACGAAGTTTTCTTTAACCATCTTAAGAGCTGTTTCTTTATCTGGCAATAGTAGGTGCCATTAGGACAGGGTCTCCTTAACAGCCTGATATTACATCGTTTTAATGTAATTTAGATGGAATGTGAGGATGTGACTTCCTGCTTCTCCGCTGCTCTTTTAATCTGGCTGCAAACGGAGGCTTTAGGCCTTGCAATATGGCTGCAGACAAAGGCCTTATCCTTCCAGGGGCTTTTCTCCCCAGGGCTGGGGTCCTCTCACGTGGCGGTGCTGCGGCACTGCAGGTGGGAAGCTGAAGGCGGGGAGCAGAAAGCAACAGAGCAAGGGAAGAGAAAACCATACAGGAGCTTACGTGGCTGTGTGGTGCTGGATGTCTTAGTAACCCTAACACTCGGCTGGCTCCCTCTGGGGACAAAAATCCCTTAATCTGGTTTGCTCCCGGGGTCCCGGAAGCTGAGATAAGGGGAGATGGCCAGGTGGGGGTGGATATATGAGCTGGGGGATGAGAATGAGTCTTTTATTTTTTTCAAAGTCTCTTTTTAAGCAGCCCCCCAAATAGGAGTACAGGTGGGGGACAGTTTCTCCTCATTATTTTGGCCACCAATGAAATCCATTTCCGGAAGGCCACGTTCGCATAGGTAACTTTGTTCCCACATTTACTTGTTTGTTAAGTATGACCTCACCACAGTCAGTGATTTGCATGAGTAGGGCCCCTGCTGTCTGGACTGATTCAATTTTTGTGTCTGGTTTTTCTTGCACCTGTTCCTAACATGGTGCGTTTATTGAAAAACAACTAGACTTATATTTCATGGTCAATTCTCTGCCGAGCAAACCATCCTAGGTTAGCGTGACCTCTGATAAACTTTCCCAGACGTCTCACAATTAAACTTCCAACTGGGGTACATTTTTTAGGTCCCGTGATCACAACAGACCCCAAAGATGCTTAATTCAAGAAGGTCCTTAATGCAGCACATTGTCACAAACTCCACCCTCCTCCCGGAGTCAGGAAGAGAACACAGGAGCTGGGGATAGAACCCAGGAGTCCTGGCCCTCAGCACCCCCTGCTCTAACCACTAGCCCCCACTCTCCTCCCAGAGCTGGAGATAGAACCCAGGAGTCTTGACTCCCAACCCTCCCTGCTCTAACCCACTAGACCCCACTCCCCTCCCTTCCCCTCCCAGAGCCACTGACTGAGCATGGGGTCCAGGGGGGAGGGGGCTGTGTTTTCATGACCCCTTTTTCCAGGTGAGGCCAGCACAAAAAAAGGAAGGCAAAAGGGCCAGAGTCCCTAGAAAATGTTTGTGTAGGGTCACCCGTGACGCACACACACACACACACACGTGTGTGCGTGTGATTTGTGTGTGTGTCAGAGGGAGTGAGACTGGGAAATACACGAGCCGTGCCCCCACCTAATTCAGGGTGGTTCAGAGCAGTGTTCTGGCCCCCTTGATCCTGCCCCGTGCCCAACTGGGGATGACACATTTCAGTCCCGGCCAAGCGGCAGATCCATGGCAGGCTGCCTGGTCTGTTTGGTACCCATCCTCTGTCCTGCCCGCAAGGGAGTTTGCTAACCCCGGTCAATACAGCAGGCAGGGGGGTGGGGGCTCTCCCCACACAGTCAGTGCTGGCCCCCGGACCCCCACAGGGGGCTGCCTGCTCCTCTCCCTGCTGGGCCCGGGCCTGCCTCCAATGACCACACCGTGGAGTTCACCACCAGCAGCCCCAGCTGGGGCAAGCGCCTCCCGGCCGGCTCCGACAACAGGGCCAGCCTTCCTGGGTGTCCCCTAGGCTGAGCCCCAAAGTGCTTCCCCACCAGCCCTGGAGCCGCGTCCTGGAGGCCAGCACCTGCCATAACGCCTGCCAGAGGAGGATATAGGTGTTTTTAGCTGTGTGGACGGGGCCAACTGGGCATCCAATGGTGCCACCACCCAAGACCTGCCTCTTCCTCAATGGCTGGGTGCCGCATCCCGGCTCCCACCCTGGTCTGAATCCCCCAGTCGGTCTCCCTGGACGCCAACAACCGGTGCATCCCAGCCGTCCCTGAGAACGGGCTCGCGGCCTCCGCGAGCTACCGGCTGGGGGCGCCCTGGGGAACGCCGGCCTGTGGGATCCGCGCTGGCTGCAGGAGAACACGGCCGCCTTGGGTGGAGACCTGGCCCATTCCATACACTGTAGCCAGAGCGCTGGGGGGCCCTCTATTGGCTTCCTCACGGCACCCGCATTTGGGTGTGAGTGAGGCCGGAGGAGCCCGGGGTGAATGCCCCGGCGCTGGGCTGACAGGGATTTTAGGGGCAGTACAAATGCCAGCCGGAGCTGGGCCAGGCTGTTGCTCATAAAGGATTTGATGTTGGCTTGGAAACATGCTAACGCTCCTACAGCTTTGGGTTCAGCACTGACTGGGTGGAGAGTGCACCCCCTACTGAGCCCCCCTGGTACTGCACTGGGGCAGGGGGAGTGTGCCCCGTACTGACCCCTCCCCCCTGCAGCACAGCACCCCCTAGCATCGCCCTGAGGCAGTGCAGGAGTCTCCTTCCACTATCACCGCACCCCCAGGTGCAGGCTGCGCTAATTCCAAGGGGCCGGTGCGCCCAGCTGCCCACAGGTTTTGTCGGAGTGTGTGTGTGTCCCATCCACGCAGCCGCCTGCCTCGCCCGGGCTTAGCTGGCAGGCACAGGTCACCCTGCGCCAGCTGCTGCTCCGGCCACACGTGGGAGAACTAAACAGCCCAATGGGAGGGGGATCCTGCAGCCAATGGGGGAGATCACCCCTGGAAACCGCCCCCCCCCCATCTGTCATTTCACAGCGCTCCCCTCCAGCCTGCGGGGGCTGCTGCAGACTCTACAGCTAAGCAGACACAGCCCCGGGGAGGCAGGACGAGACCTCTCCCCTCACAAACACCCACTTCCCAGGCTGCCAGCCGGGCAGCTAACGCAGCACTCACAGGCTGCCTGAGGTGGCCACTAGATCACGCACTCCCACCCAGGCCAGGCCTCCAGCCATCCTACCCGGCCCCGGCCCGGCTCACCCCACGCCCCACCCTGCGGGGTATCCCCTTCCCCACACGCCCAGGGTGATGGCCCCGCAGGGCGGGGATGGAGCATCTGCTGCTGATTCATTAACCAGGCACCTGCTAATGAGCAGGTGAGGGAATCAAAGGAGTGAGTTCTCCCCCCCCGATCCCCAAGCCTCTCCTTCCCCCAGATGAACCCTGAATGTATTAAAGAACATTGGGCCTGCTGGCACGAGAGATATTTTGTGGATGCCACCCATGCAGTGGGGAGGGATGGGGGGACACAGGGGGATTATGCACATAGGGGTACAGCTCTGACTGCAGGCCCGCCCCCCCACTCTCCCACCCTGGGCTTTCTCCCTGCCCACCAACAAGCTATGCCAATGACTCACAAGCCTGACTCTTAGTTCACCTGCTATTTCAGCCCTGGGCGCCCCATCCCCTCCACAGCTCTATTGAGACCCCCTCAGTCCTGCTCCCCCTTCAGAACAATGGGCTCAGGCTCTCTGCAGACTCAGGCAGTGTTGCTGCTTCGGGCACACTTGGGGCAGCTTCCCCCCCTTTCAGAGTGATGGGCTCAGCTCTCTGCTTGCCCCAGCATGTCTCTGAAATGTGTTGTGGGGAGCTCAGCAGAGCCCGTGGGATCCTATTTTGAACAGAGATGAACAGACTCCTGGACGGCGGGCGGGGCGCCCTGCTGGCACCTCGAGAGGGCGGAGCTAGGTTGGTGGGCGAGGCTTGGCTTGTGGGCAGGGCTAATGAACATCTTCGCCTACCTCTTGTCTTTTTCCATTTCAAGCCCAAGACACAGCTGGAACCCTGACCCCTCAAGTGTAAAATGTCCCGTCCCTTCCCCCCAAAGGGGGCTTCCCTTCTGGTGCCACCAAAATCCAGCTGTGGGTTGAACTGGCTGTGGGATTTCCCCTTCACCTCCTGTTACCCCGCTGTTCCACCCTAGAGCCAGCTGCATCTCAGCAGCAGCGAGCGAGCCCAAGGCAGCTGTGCTGTGCGGCTGGGCCCCAGCTGCCCCACCCCAGAGGCGGCTGCATTTCCCAGTGAGCCTGTGACCCTGCTACCATACCCCAGAGGTGCCGAATTGGGTCTCTGAGCCCATGGACCCTGCCCTGGGATCCCTCCAGCCACCTTGAACCTGGGCCCTATGTGTGCACAGCCCAGCGAGCTTGCTGCTGCCAGGGTAAATAAACTGAGGTGGCTGCACCCTGGCTGGTGCTCTCAGCGCCAGAGACGAGAGCCGCTTGGCTCCAGCATCAGCAGATCCCCCGCTCGTGCTGAGCTGGGATCTGCAGTAGGAGCCACAGAGCCGTGCCTGCAGCAGGTGAGTCTGTGTAGCTGGGGGGGGGGTGTCCCTCGGGCTCCGCGATGGGCAGAGAGTGGTGTCAGGGGAGCTGGAATTGAGAACTCGATTGGTAACTTCCCAGCTAATACCCCTTCCACAGACCCCATGCTGAGAGCTGGGGATGGAACCCAGGAGTCCTGATGCCCAGACCCCACTCCCTTCCCCGAGCTGGGGAGAGAACCCAGGAGTCCTGACTCGCAGGCCCCTCTGTTCTAACCCATTAGACCCCACTCCCCTCCCAGAGCTGGGGCTAGAACCCAGGAGTCCTATCAATCAGGAATCAGGACTCCTGGGTTCTCTCTCCAGCTCTGGGCGGGGAGTGGGGTCTAGTGGATTAGTACGGGAGGGCTGGGAGCTGGGATGCCTGGGTTCTCTCTCCAGCTCCAGGAGGGGCAGGGGCGGCTCTATGTTTTTTGCCGCCCCAAGCACGGCAGGCAGGCGGCTTTCGGCGGCGCGCCTGCGGGAGGTCCGCTGGTAACGCGGACTCGGCGGCATGCCTGCGGGAGGTCCGCCGGTCCCGCGCCTTCGGCGTACCCGCTGCCGAATTGCCGCTGAAGCTGCGGGACCGGCGGACCTCCCGCAGGCGCACCGCCGAAAGCCGCCTGCCTGCCGCCCTCACGGCGACCGGCAGGCTGCCCCCCCACGGCTTGCCACCCCAGGCACGCGCTTGCTGCGCTGGTGCCTGGAGCTGCCCCTGGGGAGGGGGGCATGTGGATTTTTGTCCCAGCCTTTCAGCATTTCCCCCTGGCATTAAGGGGCCTCTTGTTGCAGAGGGAAATGGGCCAAAGGGCAAAGCCCAGTGATACAGATCTGAGAGCTCAGCGGAGAGCTGGAGCCAGGGGCGGGGTGGGGGTGACTGACCGGAGCCCGTGTTTACCAAAGGGGAGCCAGGCTTCCTGCTCGCATGGGGGTTTAAATAGGTTGGGCTGCAGCAGAGCAACTCCCCCAGCAGGGGCAGGGCCCCACATCCCATTCCCCACTCCCCGAGCCAGCCATTCCCCCGTGACCTGGGGTTGGATTGGAACCAGCGCCCCCTAGAGGGGAAAGGTCCCAGTTCCTTGTAACTCCCTCTGGGGGAGTTTCCCTTCCAGCTGCCGTGATGCTGGGACTCCTCCCTGCGCTCCCTTGCCTGCTCCTCCTTTCCCTGCCGGGCTTCAGCTCTGGCTCCGATGACGACGGCACCGTGGTGCTCACCACCAGCGGCCCCATCCGGGGCAAGCGCCTCCCGGCCGGCTCCAGCACAGTGACAGCCTTCCTGGGCATCCCCTATGCCGAGCCCCCCATGGGGGCCTTACGCTTCCAGAAACCACTTCCCCACCAGCCCTGGAGCCACGTCCTGGAGACCACCAGCTTTGGCAACGCCTGCCACCAGCCGCTGCTTACTGGTTACCCCGATGCCTATATGTGGACACCCAAAACGCTGCAGTCCGAGGACTGCCTTTTCCTCAACGTCTGGGTGCCCCATCCCCGGCCCCCCACGCCGGCCCCCGTCCTCGTCTGGATCCACGGCGGCGGGTTCTTCGTAGGTGCAGCCTCCTTGGAGCTCCAAGATGGGCGCTTCTTAGCCGCCACCGAGAACGTGATCGTGGCCTCCATGAACTACCGCCTGGGGGCGCTGGGCTTCCTGTCCCTGCCCCCGGCCGCCCCGGGGAACGCCGGCCTGTGGGACCAGCGCCTGGCGCTGCGCTGGCTGCGGGACAACGTGGCCGCCTTCAGTGGGGACCCAGCTCATTTGATGCTCTTCGGCCAGAGCGCTGGGGCCGCCTCGGTCGGCTTCCACCTCCTGTCCCCGGGGAGCCGGCCCCTCTTCACCCGCGCCGCGCTGCAGAGTGGTGCCACCACCGCTCCCTTGGCCTGGTTTAGCCCAGAAACGGCCAAGGAGATAGGTCGGGCACTGGGCCGTGACCTGGACTGCACCGATTTCAATGACACCGCCCTGGTGGGCTGCCTGCAGGGGAAGGAGCCGGGAGACTTTGGGAAACGCATTATGTCCATGCCTGGGTCCGTGCCGACCGTAGACGGGGATTTCCTCCCCGATGAGCCACTGAGACTCCTGGAGGCTGGGCACAGCCAGCCTATACCCCTCCTGGCTGGTGTCACGGCCAACGAAGGCTCCTACCTAATCATCAGTGCCCTTAACTTCACCAGGGTGAACGCCAGCCACATGAGCTGGGAGGAGCTACTGGAGGTGCTGAGGGTGACAATGCCGGGGCTGCCATGGGAGGGCGTCCAGGCGGCAGCAGAGCGGTACAACCAGAAGGGGCAGGGCTCGGCGTGGTACCACCGCACCATGGCTCACATCATCAGTGACTATCATGTGGTGTGCCCCATAGCCAAGACGGCTGGGCAGATGGCAGAGGCCGGCGGTCCCGTGTACGCCTACACCTTCACCCACCGCCCCAGTGGCTTGTCTTCCCCCAAGTGGATGGGGGTGCCACATGGCTCCGAGGTGCCCTACCTGTTCGGGACCCTGGCGTCCGTGGGGGGAGCCAATCACACGCACACGGAGGCCGAGGTGGCGCTGAGCCGCAGAGTGATGCGCTACTGGGCAGAGTTCGCCAGAAGTGGGTAAGGGAACTCCTAAGAAGTCGCAACCCTGAGTGCCAGCAGGCCTGGATCTACCTGCACTTTCAGCTTTGCTCCACAAAGCTGCATTCAAATTTGGTGTCCCCAGGACAGGCGGAATCCAGTCCTATCAATAATGGAATCAATTATTACTAGACCATAACACTCCTGTTTATTTCTTTTTCCCCAACCCCAATAGCTGCCATGCTAAATAAAACAATAAACTCCCCCTCTGAAATCTGATAATAACTTGGTCCTGACTAGCCAACCTGGGCCCATTGACTCCCAGGTTACGGTGAGCCATGCCTCCCAATCACTAACATCCTCTGGCTCTAAGCCTTTCCACCTCGTTCATGTCCCTGCGGTCACACAGCCAATGTGAGACAGATTGTGAGCGTGGAAGCTGGGGAAAGCCCTGATTGTGCAGCTGGGCGATACTACATGACACTTGGGATATCTATGCAAATTACACCTGCCAGCTGGTCCTGAGCCCTTCCCACTTCCCCATCGGAACCAGAGAACTGTATATCAGATCAACCTGGCAGCTGGCATGACAGCAGCCACCATTTCCCCACTTCACCAATAGAGGGCAGCCTGTGACTTCAGCCCATGAAGAACAACATGGCGGAGTGGCCATTTTGGAAGAGGACAAAACTGGGTTGTTTGGCTCTTGATCCTTCCTAGCTCGTGGGAAGCCTTAGTGAGACCTGGCTGGAGACTGTGGGTGGCTGGGTATGTCCCTGTCCCTCTCTGCTGCCACTTGGTGTAGTGAAGGTCACCTGGTCAGGGCATCCTCCTGTCTGCCCCCTTGTGGCTGGAATTCATTCCCTTCCCCCCTATGTTGACCATAGTTGCATTTCCCCCCAGGAACCCCACAGGGGCAGGAGGCAGCGGGCAGCAGTGGCCTCGTTACAATGCCACAGAGAAGAATTTTTTCCGTGTCGGAACGGAGCCGCCCCAGGTGGAGGGGACGTCGCCCGCCCGGCGCTGTGGCATCTTGACACCATTGGTCCCAGACTATCAGCGGTTCAAGGGTGAGTGTCACAATTTGGGGCACAATCCGGAGCAGTGAGGGGCTGTGTCACCCAGTAACCCTTAGTGCCTGAGCTAGCCAGTCCCCACAGCCTGGGATGGATTGGAGCCGGTCCCCCCCAGAGGGAAAAGGACTACATAATATGCTCCCATCAGCCAGTTTCCGCTTGCCATAGAGATGGGGGATATTCTGGCCTCCAGGCAAAATCTGGGGGGAGCCCTCCCATCCGTGGGCCTCTGACATTCACATGCCTGGGCTGCCACTTGACTCTAGGCCCGGCTTTTTAGTGATGGGACAGTAACCTCCATACCTCTCTCTTAGCCCAGCCCAAAGGAACTGCTGAACCAGCAGGGGAGACAGAACGTCTGGAGGACTGAGCACCATGGAGAAACACAGGATCTTCAGCAGGAAAAGCCCAGACCCCCTCCGCCATCTCAGCTATGGGAGTTAGGCCCAGATTCTCATGGGTATTTAGGGCCTGGTCCACACTAACCCCCCACTTCGGACTAAGGTACGCAAATTCAGCTACGTTAATAACGTAGCTGAATTCGAAGTACCTTAGTCCGAACTTACCGCGGGTCCAGACGCGGCAGGCAGGCTCCCCCGTCGATGCCGCTTACTCCTCTCGCCGAGCTGGAGTACCGGCGTCGACGGCGAGTACTTCCGGGATCGATCCCAGAAGATCGATTGCCTGCCGCCGAACCAGGAAGTAAGTGTAGACGTACCCTAGGTGTCAAATGGGAGTTCGCTGCCTAAATAGCTTTGAGGATCTTGGCCTAACTCTCCCAGCTGGGCGTCGGTAGCATTTTTGTTGTAGTAATGCTGGCCGGCCACTAGATGGAGACAAGATCTGGCACACTCATCCCTCTTCCTAGCATCCCTACAGTGATACCTTTATGTGCAGTATATAAATAGGCCACTAGATGTCACTGTGGAGGGGAAGCTGTCCCCTGGTCAACAGTGGAGACAAAGGAGGGTTGCGATTGCATTTTGAAATCTCTGCTTGCCAGTGCATCAAGTTAATAGCCAAAGTTAGCTGGCTCAAAGCCCTGCTTTGTCAGTGCAATAAATTCGTTAGACTACAACAGTGCTAATTCATTGCTGCTTTACCAGGGCGTTACCAGCATTAACTCACAACACTGAGCTAATTTTCTTTTTCGCAAGTGAGGCTCACAACAGGTTTTAGGCAAAACAAATCCAAGCATAACTTAAGGGGTCAGCCCAATGGTCCAGCTAGCCCAGTATCCCGTCTTCTGACAATGGCTGGCGCCAGATGTTTCCGAAGCACTGACAGAACAGGGCAATTAGTGAGTGATCCATCTCCTGTTGTCCAGTCCCACCATCTGGCAGTCAGTGGTTTAGGGGCACCCAGATCGTGGGGTTGCGTCCCTGACCATCTTGGCTAATAGCCATTGATGGACCAATCCTCCATGAACTTATCTAATTATTTTTAAACCCAATTATACTTCTGGCCTTCACAACATCCTCTGGCAATGAGTTCCACAGGTTGACTGTGCGTTGTGGGAAGAAATACTGCCTTTTGTTTGTTTAAACCTGCTGCCTATTCATTTCATTGGATGATTCCTGGTTCTTGTGTTATGTAAAGGAGTAAATCATTCCTTATTCACTTTCCCCACACCCTTTAAGATTTTATAGACGGCCCTCATATTCCTCCTCCCTTGTCTCTGGCTAAGCTGAACAGTCCCAGTCTTTTGAAATCTCTCTTCTTATGGAAGCCGTTCCACACTCCTCATCATTTTTGTTGCCTTTCTCTGTACCTTTTCCAGTTCTCATATATCTTTTTGGAGAGGGGGTGACCAGAACTGCACACAGTATTCAAGCTGTGAGTGTACCATGGATTTATAGAGTTGCATTATATTTTTTGCCTTAATATCTGTCCCTTTCCTAACGATTCCAAATATTCTGTTAGCTTTTTTAAACTACTACTGCACACTGAGCAGATGGTTGCAGAAACCTCTCTACAATAACTCTAAGATCTCTTTCTTGAGGGGTAACAGCTAATTTAGACCCTCTCATGTTAGCTATAGAGTCGGGAATGTTTTTCAGTATTTATTATTTCTAGATCCATTTTTTTCACTGTACATTATTGAGCCCCTCCTTTAAAACATTCCTATTATTAAAATAAAACTACAAAACAAGCCCCCTAAGACACCATTAGTTGGGTCTCACTATCCAACACGGGCCCACTCATTCCCAGGTTAGGGTGGGCCTTTTTCACCATTCACCAGTTCTCACGCTTGCTGCCGCATTCGTATCCTTGCAGTCACATGGCGAAGGTGACAAAGATCGTGAGTGTGGAACACAGGGAAAACCACGACTGTGCAGCTTTGGGTGCTTGGAGGAGATGCAAATATGGAGATCCTCGGAGGTACATGCAAATTACACCTGCTAACAGGGCAGGAGCACCATCCTTTTCCCCCGTTCCCTCATGGGGGAGCTAGAGAATGGTGCATGCAAATTAGCCCAGCAGCAGGTAGGAAGGTGGCCTCCACCCTCCATTTCACCTCCAGAGGGAGCCAAAGAGCTGCTCGTCCCACAGGCCGACTCAGCCATTTTTGCTATAGGCAACATCCCTGCTACTTGCCCATTTGCACTTCTGTGAGCAATGGGAGGTGGTGGACATATTTACAAGGAGCAGCCTCACTGTAGCCTGCAAGGGACCTAAGCAGATGGCGGCCATTATAACTCAGTGCAACTTGTAGCTTCACTAACATCAAGAATAATAGGACTGTGGCCATTCTGAGTGAGGGCATAGTGTCTTCAGCGTCCTTGTGAACAATGGGATGTGGTGGCCATCTTTGCTAGGGGCAGCCTCACTTCTACTAGCAAGGACTGTAGGCAAATGGCAGGCATCGTAATTCGGGACAGGTTGTGGCTTCAATTGCACTGAGAACAATGAGAGATGGTGGCCATCTTCAGTCAGGGCAACATGTGCCTTCATCCTATGTAGAAGGATGTGAGATGGCAACCATCTTAACTGAGAGCAAAGTGTGGCGTCAGCCTTCCTCCCAGTTTAGATCCTCCTGTCCATGCCCCCATGTTTCCCTACCACCCTAGTGTCCTTCCCTGGTCTGCCATATCCCGCTGGGCCCACACTGCCCTTCTGAGAACACAAAGGATGCCCATCTTCCCTGAAGGCAGCCTGGCTTCAGTCCCATTGAAAACAATGGATAATGGTAGCCATCTTTACTAAGGGCAGCCTCAGAGCCATCTAGAAGGGCTGTAAGCCAATGGCAGCCATCATAATTGAGGGCAGCCTGTGGCTTCAGTCTCATTGAGAACAATGGGAGGCAGCTGCTAGATTTATAAAGGGCAACCTGTAGCATCACCCCATGTGAGGTGAACTGGACGCAGCAGCCATCCTAACCGAGGGCAGCCTGTGGCTTCACTTTCATTGGGAACAACAGTGGATGGCAGCCATTTTGGAAAGGGGCCAAACTTGGCGAGTTAACTCCTAACGACCCCTGTGTGCAGCTGGAGCATGTTCCTGCCCCTGCCCGTACTCTGTGGGGTGTGTTGAAATTCTCCCCAAGAGCCCCATGGGGATAGGGAGGAGAGCAGGAAGCAGTGGCCCCTGCAATGACCCCATGGAGCAGAACTTCTTCTGCCTCAGCACAGAGCCACCCCAGGTGGCTTCTTGGCATCACTGCTCAGTGAGCATCAATGAGGTGAGAGGACAGCAGCCCTAAAGGGGAAAGGCCCCATGTCCCCCCATCCCTCTGAGCCAGCC